CGAAAGATCTTCTCAATTGCTTTCAGCCATACTTGTGCTTTGTCAGGTTCATGGGTTCCCTTGAAAATTGGCGGATTGTTCCTTTGAAACCTTCCCAAAGCACGAAACTCATCATCAGCGTTGTTTCCAGCATTCACATTGGCTTGAGGATTCTGCCCAATTTCCCCAGCCAACCTCGTCAAAGCCTCAACAATCGCTTCATCATTCCTACCGGCGACCATCGTTCTGAATCCTAACAACAGAACTTCATAAGAACAAACAATATCGATAGTTTCATACACACAATCATATATATATATATATATATATATATATATATATATATATATATATATATATATATATATATATATATATATATATATATATATATATATATATATATATATATATATATATATATATATATATATATATATATATATATATATATATATATATATATATATATATATATATATATGGAATAAACACATTAACAACTTGGCCAACTGGCCGACCTGCTCTGATACCACTTAATGTAACACCCCCTTCTATACCCCCAAATAATCAAATAAATCATTAAAGCACATAATAAAATTTCATCAGAGTAAAATTAAAACATGGTATAAAAGAAGTATGTCACATCATACACAAAATTTGAAACATACAACACCTGCTCTATAAAAGACATGCAACAGTGGGGTAGCTTTCAACAGAGGAACTTAGTCCTTGCGCCCACATCTCAATATTTAGAATTAAAAGCGGAAAATCTAAACATTGAATCACTTTAAGCATGTAATCATATAAATACATATCATCCAGTTTGATTCACCACATCATTCATGTTTACATAAACATTTGTCAGCAGATACATGTGCAAATGTATCACAAAAGAATTCTATACAATCCTAGCTACCCGATGCTACATATCAGAGCGAACCGATCAAAAAGAATGAAGCTATACTTCACAAAAGACCTCCAACAAACCTAATCTGCAATGCCTCATAGAGCATTATAAAAAAGCAGAAGGGTGAGAAATATTATCATAATAATCAATGCATATATATATATATATATATATATATATATATATATATATATATATATATATATATATATATATATATATATATATATATATATATATATATATATATATATATATATATATATATATATATATACACATAAGCATAGAATACACATATTCCATATTTTCTCACCATAATTCATTGTAATCATCATATACATCATCATACATGTATAAACAAATATGGATAATCACCAAGCATGTTTCATCATGCACACATCCATAATTATTAATTCAACAATTCATACACAAGCATACTTTCATATACAATGATGTCTATGCCATGTGACTCGATGCAACTCAATGCAACTCATGCCATGTGGTACCAACACTTGTTATCATTTTTCGGTTTTTACATTTAAACCGGGTCCGTCCCCTAGACCGATAACAACAAAAGCCCGTCCCCTAATCTTTAAAACCCACCCTTCTAGGTTTGGGACAAGTCACTAGTTTCCTCAAAACTAGCAAGCATTGCCTCTTGACCAAATGATGCGTATGCAATCAACAACCAAATGCACTTAAGACCGTTCTCGCATCTTAATCCCATGCATTCTCAAATAATTCATCACACAAGAATTATAACATGATTGCACACATAACACACTTTATAATAATCAAAGTATTCATACTTTCAACACCATCACTACATTTATCAAGCAATGCACACATATTCACTAATATGTTCTCATGCATTCTTCACATACAATCGCATATAATCAATATGCACTCACAATATCGTGTCGACGACAACGAACCCAATCACATTTATCATGCATTTTTAATCAATTTAAACAATGCATATATTTGTCAAAAGACCACATTCATAATTGATTCCACAATCTAGGATTCACGCCATACGGCTACCCACGACATCTCACACATTAGTACACAAACTATTCATTTCAGATAAGGATTGAACACAATTGAATCAAAAAATCAACATTGGATGGAAAACACAATAGATGAAAATGCTGTCACACTCGCTAGCTTGCTCGCCTAACGAGTTCACGACGAATGCTCGCTACTAGTTCACCTAGCGAACGAGCTCGCGAAGACAAACAGAAGCTATTGGAAGGGTTCGCTACCAGTTCGCCTAGCGAATAACTCGCTACTATACTCGCTACTAGCGAAGAAGATCATTTCTATTCTGCTCAAGTCTGGGACCATTCGCTACTTGCTCGCTACAGCTTGCTTAACAAACACTTGCTACCCTGCTCGCCTAGCGAAGGTGCTAGCGAACGTTTGCGTACTTCAAAACCCCAACTGTCTAAAATTCATCAGAAGCTCACAAACCACCCGATTTCCACCAAACCAGTTCCAATAGTCTTAGTCTAACATCCCTCGACTAAACTACACAACTTATTCCCAATTTTAACCGTTAAAACATCGATTCTACCGATTAAACTCATTTTCTGCCCTAAAATGGAAAAAGATGGAAAACACCCAACAATCCAAACCAATCATACATAATCATATACATTGATAAGATAATGATATTTCACACTCTTACCTTGATTAAATCGAGAGCTAGAAGTTGTTCTTGAGCTTTCCAAGCTTTCCCTTCTTTTCCTTCTCTTTTCTCCTCTTCCTCTTTCTTTCTCTTCTCTTTCCCTTATGTTTCTATTCTTCCTTTTTCTTTCCACTTTTCCTTATATGTCTTTCTATTCTATTTCCTTCCATCATATTTCTTCTCTCAAATTATCTACCAACAATTCCAATAATTAAAACAATTTCAATAAATCAATTAATTAACATAAATAATTAATTAATTAAGATTGGACTGTTACATATATTGGTTCCCCTCAAAGGTCGTCCCCTTTCAACATAAAAGAGGTTTCACTATAATGTTAGATCTTAGACAAGACTACATAGTCTTTCTAAATTAGACTCTAACAAAATACCAAGAACAATCCTCTTGGATTTTACAAGTTTAAAGTCCAACCAAGAATAAATCTCTTACAATGGACCTCTTGTATCCACAATCCGGATAACAAGGATTCTAACAAACCCTATAAGAGAAACAATCATTCTCCTTATAGTCAACACCTAAATCCAAACAATCCTTGGAATTTTAGGATTTTACAATAGTTCTGAATTTTGAGTAAGTAGATGAAATTTTGATTCTTCAAGATATCAATCACAAGATCGATCTTCTCCTTTGTAACACTCAATTCTCAAGAGAATAATACAAGTGTTCTTTGTATGCAAATGAAGCTATGATAATTAATATGAAGGTTTATGCAAAGTTTCACTTTTGGAAAAATTTGAAGAACACTTAGAAAGTTTTTTAAGATTGAGAGAAATGAGTAATTGATTTGAAATTTTGTGAGGAGGTGAGGTATAAAGGCTTATAGAATGATGTTTATATATTGCTATGACGCCTCTACTGAAGATTACAAATCATGAAAGGATGCCATGATTGATCAGACAAAACAACAGAAAAATTTATGAAGGGATGCATTAAGATTTTTGGCTCTGATTCAGTGGTAACCGGTTACTTGATTGTAACATTATAAAATTTGAAAGTTTTGACAGGATAACCGATTACCTTATAAAGAGTAACCGGTTACTTCAAAACAGAGTTGAAAAATGCTTAAAAACAGAGTTTCAAAACCATTTTATTGTAACCAAAAAATATTTCTAAGGATCATGACAAAAATGAGGAATATGATGAACACTTGTATCAATGCACGAGTTTAAGTGTTATACCTATTCCTTTGAGTTTTAATCTTCATAATGCCTTGACACTTGTAGAGAGTTGATTTTTAAGCAGGAAACTTGATCAATTTTTTTTGTTAATTTATCTTATCTTTATGAAAAACTTTGTAGGTGAGTCTTCATCAAAACATCTGAGAAGCCATGTCTTCACAAATTATTTAATTAGAAATAATTTATTATGATAAATTTAAAAATCTTCAAACTAAATTTTAAAAATAATATAGGACAAGACTCAATTTAGACGCATTTCAAAAAGACGCAGGTTGTGTTTGGAAATTAATTTCTAAACTCAAAAGTATATTTTTCTAACATGAGATTATCAATTCCCAAACAAGAATAACCACTAGGATGGAAAAGTCCATAGATGCACATTAAAGCACGGATAACCCAGGTGATACAAAACTCCAAAGATAAAGAAACATATATAATTCGTTAAATAGTAAAACTATTAAGAAAGTAGTGAGAAGCTGCCGTGTAATGAGATAAAAGCACAATAAATCCAAAATATAAAATAAAAAAGGAAGTAATAAAATGAAGCAAAGGAAAGGAATCAAACCTTCTCCAAGCCCCACGTACTAGTCCACGATCATGACATGACACACTTGACCCAAGCCATCAACGAAGAATTTTCACAACCACTCAACTCAGTCTCAACCCATACAACACGGAAGGCGAACATTTTCCACACCCGACCCGCATACTAACTTTATATTTAATTCAATTTTAAATATAGTATAAAATTAATTTTGACCAATAATAATGTCAATAAATAGCTTTATAAAAACACTAATGGAATTAAATTAAAATCATCAGAACTAATTTCCGAAGTAGATTAATGGATGAATTGCGTTGGTGAAAGATGATTGGGCATACACAAGACTCCAATTGAAAAAGGGTAAATGAGTCCAAGCACATTACATGTTTCTCTCACATCCACCAAATTGAAGATAGCATACTCTAGAATCTTCGCTTCAACTCAACCAGCGTAGTTAACGATACAAAACCCTCTCTTTCTCTCTACCGTTTCTTATACATATGCTTTGACGCATCAGCTTCTCCTGTCATCACATGAAAAACAAACTCACTGTATAAAGTTATATAAACTAAGTTTTGTACAGTTACATCTAGTAGAACGAATCGTTGATCTTTGAAACTGAACTTCCCGAATCAAGATCGGAGATCATCGGATTTGGATTCAGATTTAGATAACATGGGCGGAGTTGGAGCAGCAGCACCGAACACAGAGGCTCAATACACCACGGCGAAGATTTCCGTATGGTGGGATATAGAAAACTGTCACGTTCCCAAGGGTTTCGATCCTCATCAAATTGCACAGAATATCAGTTCAGCGCTTGTTCGGATGAACTTCTGCGGTCCCGTTTCGATCTCTTCCTACGGTGATACGACCAGAATTCCGGCGTCTGTACAGCACGCTCTCTCCAGCACCGGAATTTCCCTCAATCATGTTCCTGCTGGTAACTATATATATAATCAATTTTAGTATAAATTGAAATTGAAATAATTTGATGAAAAGTGTTATTTTTTCTTTCCAATTTTGTGATTTATTTCTTTAACGGAACACAAGTCAAATAAAATAAAATAAGATAATTGGAATTTAATGACTGTTTATGAATTATGATGATTACTTACTAATTACTATGTATTTATTAACATTCAAGCATCTATAATTTAGGGTTAATCTAGTATGGACCTTAATTTAAAAATGGTCCAAAGGTAGATCCTTATCAATTTAGTAATTCTTTTATCATAATAAAAATAAGAATGAAAAACAAATCATAATCTCTGAAAAAGGCGTCTCTTATAAAAGACGTGTATGTGTCAGACCGATATTTGTGATTACATTTAATTTGTTAATTTTTAAAATTATTATTGGCTTTGCTTTGTCAGTGTTGGTATGTGTTGTTTGGAATAATTTGGGGGTGTCTGTGTTTCATAGGTGTACAATCCTTTCAAAGACATTTTTTCAATTCTCTTAAATCTTTAACCTAAGATTGTTTCATTTAGGGGTGTTCAAAATACGGTTTTTCTTTATTGATCCAGAACTAGAATGTACAATTTTTAAAAGTCCAATCCATTTGTGAAAAAAACCCGATTGGATCTATATAAGCCTAAAATCAATAAACCGGATACCATTTTCATAAAAAACCGGTTATCATTCTCCTTCAATGAAGCAACAATTCAAACAACACACAAATCTAAGTAAATCCTTCATAATCTATTTTTCAAATGCTTTTTCTATAATCAGTTTGCAAACTACTAAATTCTCTCCAAATCTCTATAATTGATTATGTGTTTCTCAATTGATTTTTTTACTTGAATCAATTCAAATGTATTTTTCAATTGTTTTTTTAATCTTGAATCACTTGCTTTTGTGCCTCTGAAATTACTTCTGTTTGAATTTTTTGTGTGAATCAACTGCCTATTTCAAAATGAAATTCAATGATAGCACTATTAAAAATCATTGCGGTTGTGTTAATGAAATCAACGGACAGGGTTTCGTGAACCGGAGGCATTCAACGACGATGCTCACAAACACAGTGGGAATTATTTTGCACATTATCATGGCCAAAGTTTTATTGCACTTTGTTGTCTCTTTTAAATATTTAGAGACAGCTGTATATTTTTTATTCACATAAATAATGACTCAAAAACTAACAAGCAAGTTATAGAACATTCAAAATCCTTAGAACTATTTATTTCTAAATCTTACATAAAAGATCCTTCTATAAATACTAGATGATAATACTTTTTTTTAAACATTCCCTCAAATTCCCAAGCGCTGCCCGCAAGTCAATATCTAGTTTCTATGATTTACAATCATGGCACAATTGTGATCTAATGCCTTAACCAATACTACCACAACTGCAACATTAGGGGCTTGCAATTTAAAGCCTTGATTTGAAGTTTGATTGGCTTGAACAATCTGATTTATAAAATTACTTAAAATTTTGATGACTTGTTTGCTTCCTTTCTCGAGTTTTTTGGGCATAATCTGTTATGAATTTATTGCATTGCAGATAGCGGGAAGTTTGGATTCATTTAGATATTTGTGTTAATTTTTTTTTAATGTTGGTAATAGGTGTGAAAGACGCAAGTGATAAGAAGATCCTTGTCGACATGCTGTTCTGGGCAGTGGACAACCCTGCACCTGCAAATTATTTATTAATTTCAGGTGATCGAGATTTCTCTAATGCCCTCCATCAATTGCGAATGAGGAGGTATAATATTCTTCTTGCACAACCTCAAAAAGCATCTGCTCCCCTAGTTGCAGCTGCTAAGAACGTATGGCTTTGGACTAGTCTCTTATCTGGAGGACCTCCATTATCTAATGGAGAATCACAACAGCTTGGTAATAGTAGCCTCCTATCATCTTCTGAAACTTTACAAGTTCCTGTATCAAATGCCACTCAGACACAACAAGGGGGTCCCTATTCTGAAGTTCAGGCTGGAAATTCAAAATATCAAAACGGAGGGAGGGGATTTGATTCTAGATATCAGGGGAGACCGAATTGGAGAAACCCGAATCAACCAAATGGGTCCAAAGCCATGAGCCCACCCCCAGTTGGACCTCAAGATAACCGTAATAACGTAAACAATTATCGACCTGGCAACTATAATCCAAATGTTCCTCATACCGGATCCGCCACAAATTTTGTCCGCGCCAATTCTGATCAGTTATGGAGCAATAATGGTAATCAACATCCTTATTCTCAACCATTAAGACCGAACGACTTTCCATTGCAGCCTCCTTTTGCACCTAGTAATTCATTTTCTCCAAATTCCCACACTTTTGCAACTGTGCCGGTGCCACCTAGGACTAGTGGCCCCAATTTTGGTACAGGATCAAATACACCTGTGCCAAATATTGGTAATCTGAACATTTCTGGTCATCCTAATAACGCTCATAACCCCCGTACTGTTCCGCAACGGAGTGGAGAGTTGAAACCTAATCCTAAGGGTAGTGCTCCGCTTCTGGTAAGATCAACGAATGAACAAAATGGACATATGGTGCATAGCAGTAGCACGCAAGGCTATCCACATGGTCCAGAATATCAACCTACATCGTCGGCAGCAATGGGTAATAATAATAAACTTCCTGCTAATGGTAAGTGGGGATCTTCAGGAATTTCTAAACCTTCTGAATATGTACAAGGCCTTATAGGGGTTGTATTACTTGCCCTTAACTCACTAAAAAATGCAAAGATGATGCCAACTGAGAAAAATATTACTGATAGCATCCGTTATGGAGATCTCAAGCATCGCAACACTGATGTTAAGAAGGCTCTGGAGAGTGCAATGGAGCAGCAGATGGTGGTGAAACAGAATTTAGGTGCTCTGACGTTGTATGTTGGTAAGAATGATAAACTTTGGAAATGTGTAAATCCTTTAGGTGGAAATCCTAAACAGCACTCGAAAGAAATTTGGGATGAAATTCAAATTTTTTTAACAACCCCTGCTGGAAGAGAAGCAATAATGGGTACACAGTGCAAGTAAGAATATTTTTATATATATATTTTTACTCGAATATTTATATTTATATTTAGAACATAGTAATTGACAAAAAAATAAACTATTCATTTTCTTAAAGGTTTCGGTGTTCTAATGAGCCAATTCTATTTCTCTAGGTATGAAGCAGGTATGGTGATAAAGAACATGTGCTTTAAAGATCTTGCTTTGGGCGATGTCCTTCAGATATTGAACATGTTGATTCTCCATAAAAAATGGATAGTTCATCAGCAGTCTGGCTGGCAACCACTCACCCTTACTCTTCCTGAGTCAAATCTTGATTCAGGGGTCACCGCTGGTGCATAGCAGCACCCTGATTATGGTAATGGAAACTTGAAAGGCAGCCAGAGAAAACTCATAAAAGTAATTGAATATATCCTGAGCCAGTTGGACCAGTAATTACTCGAATAATTCTCCTATGAATCAAACCATAGGTAGTAATGTTGAACTCTAGTATTCAAGTATAATTAGTATTTTTTTTTGTTAATCAACACCTTCAGTTCGTCTTGGGAGAGCCAGTAATTCTCGTTTTGTTAATCAACACCTTCCGTTCGTCTTGGGAGAGAAGTAAAAACAGAAATATTAAAGCAGCATTTTGACGATACCCAAAAAATACCAAATACTACAGTTTGGTGTGGTTGCTGAAGTTTCTACTATGTCCCACAATATAACACAGTGATCTATCTTGGAATTACTTTTCGCATGTCTAAAGCTTCTGCTCAACTTCAGTCTTCCTACAAATATTGCTAGGAGTTTTCCTTATTGAACTGAGTTACTTGTTCCTTTTAGTGATATATTTGATATATGTCCGAGATATTAGCTAGATTCATTTTTCCTGAAGTGATAGGACCTTCAATCTAGCTTCGTAACCAACATTGGTGCTGTTTGTTTATCATTTAAGAAATGATCTTCCAAGTCAGATTCTCCAGGGTTGATTGTGAAATGGAAATCCAGAATCTTTTTCATATGAGGCTATGTCTTCAAAGTTTCAAAGTTTGAAGGTTAATTATTCAAAAGAGATCACTTAACAAAATTGGAACTGCACTCAAACTCCTACATGAAGTTCTTAAGTTGTTATCCGAACACAAATACAAGGTATGTTTATTATGATGGAATTTGGTTATGGGAAATCACATTTATACAGTTTTCAACATGATTCAAAGAGGGTGAAATAGTGCATCCCATTGCATATCTTGTTGCCGATGGTGCACATATGATGTTGAATTATTTGTCTGGAATTGAATTTTGGATGTCTGGCTCAATATGCTGAATTTGCCGATTCAGTTGCGAATTGATCTCTGGTCTTTCTGCTCTTTCTGCATTCTATTGCCTTTTAATGTGCGACTATAACCCGCATTTAAATTTGCATTGTACTTATATTAGTTGATTAATACTCTTAATTTTCGCTTTTGTCTTGGTGTTGGAAATATCTTTTTAAATGTACTCGGAACTAAAACATCGATCAATTTGTTTGATCTGATCTGTAATCAAAACATTGTTATTATCAGTTTTCTCTAGTAATGGTTTTACCATTTCGTTACTTGCAATCTAAAATATTCAATGCATCATGGTAATGATGTTGTGAAAAGTGGTTGAGTGTATGAAGTTTACAGTCATAAAGTTTCATCGCTGCATGACTTTCTCAGGTCTGAAAGTTTCATCAAAATTTTCAGGTATGGTTTAAAGTTTCTCCTCTATGAAACTCCGGCAGCTTTTAAGGTGTGCCTTGCTTCAATTCACCTCGATCCCAAAACATTCCCCTCAGTATTTTTTTGGCTGGGCTTGAACATCACACCCAAAAATCCTTTTTGTTTACTCATTTCACCAAAAATCGATGTCTACTAAGCAAACCCTTTTCCACAAATTTATCTTGTACACTTTATCTTCACACAACACAACACCACCTGAAACTCAATCAAACACACCCAATTCTACACCTAAAACCACCCCATTCGTCCTAATTGCACCATTTCTACTATTGAAATGGCTCAGCATAGAGCCAAAGGTTTATATATATTTTGGGACGAGCACTTTACTACGAGTTATCTAAACACAAACATTCTCAAGTTATGGTGCTTGAAGTTGAATCTCTTCAAACTTTTAATGAGGAAGTCCATGTTTCTGAAGGTGAATCTCTTCAAACTTTTGAAAAATCCCCAATCACCTCTGCAAGCTTTGACTGGTATTGCTAATTACTACACTATGCGTGTAACAGGGCTACGACTTCTCCATATTCTTCTTGATAGTGGTAGTACAGACAATCTTGTAGATTTGGAGGTTACAAATTGGAAGCTATTTCTCCATTAGCTGTCATTGATGATGGTGGCCACCAACTTGATTCTGCATTCATCTGTCGAGGCTTCAAATGACAACTGAAACAAGCTCAATTCATTAATGATGTGATTGTATTACCACTTGTGTGTTGTAACTTGGCTAAGGGGATTCAATGGTTGAAGTCTTTAGGCCTTATCCTTTGGGATTTTGATAAATTGCAAATCGAGTTCACTATATATGGCCGCAAATTTTGATAAATTTGTGTACCAAGGTGGCTAGCTCCAAGCTTATTAATAACAAATCCTTTTCTCAAGCTGTGTCCAAAAGGGTGCAGAATTATGCTTTTTATTTAGGGTAATGTTAACTTGTGTCATTGGGACACATGTTAAAAAAAACCACTTTTAGTAAATTTGTATTGGAAAAAACAATTTAAATATTAATTTTATACTTTAATTTAAGTTTGTACACAATTTCCAAGATGATATTTCTTAATTTAGTTCTTAACATGTGCCCCAAGGGCACAAATTAACATTACCCTTTTATTTATTACTAATGAACATTCTAGTCTCATGCTGCCCACTTGCTTGGATATGCGCGCATCTGGTGCCAACTCAATTACCTCATTCTCACCTTGATTTTGATCACATTTTTCCTATCAAACAAGAAGGGGTTGAGCCATTCAATCTCCGTCGATATATTTCTATCTTGTTTAGAAGGATGTAATTAACCAATTAGTGCATGTTTAATAGAGAGAGAGAGGGGGAGGGAGGGAGGGAGAGAGAGCAACAATAATTGCAGAAGTAATACAAACTTAAAATTAAAGCAAGTAAATAGAACAAAATATGCAATTAAAAGTTGAAATAAAATTGATTTTAGAGTTAAAATTTCTGATGCTAAGATGCAACAGTCCCTGAATGTGAGCAACAACTTATTTTACAATACTAAAATTTTTAACTAATTAAATTCTAAAAAACTTGGATGATAAAACTGTGACTTGAATGATAGAATAAGGTATAAACTGTGATTTGAATCACAAATATTAGAATTTTCTCTTTTACCACTGTTTTGCAAGATTTGAATCATAGATTGTGGCGATTTGTATCATACACAAGAAATTTCAATTTCTTCAAAAATTTCAAAATAGTTTGTGTTCCACTTTCCACGTGAGTTGAATTAATATTAGCTATGGTTCATGTTTCATTAACACAAGCAATTGACTTAAATTATCATGATCAAATCTGAAACATAATAATTAATTTATGCATGCTTACAAACAAATCGATTCAAACTTTGTTAGGTTGTTTGCTTTATGATTGGCTGCATTTTATTAAAACAAGTATTCTAGCGAGATGTTGTACAAAATTTCGTGACATGTTGGTGCGATAATGAATCATATCTTGTTTTACATTCTTGAAAGATTTGTTTTTAAGTGTGAGATCTCTGGAGGTTCTTTGAAGATTTGACTCTAGTATATTACAGTCTAAGAAGCATGTGTCTTTAGAAGATCAAAGTTTAGTTTCACTTGTGCAATATTTCCTAAGAATGGTTGTCAAAATATTTAAGAAAAGATTTGATTTGATTTGATTCTGCATAAGTTTATGCAGCAGCTGTATTTGGATCTGAATTTAATAATATATTTTCTTCTAAAATATTATAGATGTGCTATTTAATTTAGCCCGATTTGCTCATCAAGCTCATGCTTTTCAAAGGCTTTTAAACAAAAGACTCTAAATCTAAAAAGAGAGAAAGTGCAACCATATTGTGTGAGATTTTTATTCTAGGGTTTTGTTTGTTCATTGTGGTTTGTGAGCGACACTTGTATCACCTTGATACTAGAGATGGACTATTTTAATTGAGTTGTATTTGTGAATATCTCATAAGTTTTTAAGCAAGAGTAAATTCTGTTTATTGGAGTGTGTCTCTTTCTTTGATTGTTATCTTGTTATCATGAATTGTTTGTTATGAGAGGAAGTGAAAGAGGTCTCATATCTAATAGAGTCTTAGATATAAATAACACGGGTAGTGATTAGGTGCGAAGTTTGTAAAGCCTGAGGTTGTTTAAGACTTCAAAGTAATACTATTATAGTAGATTTTCTTTCTGGCTTGGATACCCCCAAATGTAGGTGACGTTGCATCGAATTGGGTTAACAATTGAATGTTTTATTTACTTCCTGCAATTTTGTTTAAATTGCTCATTGTTATTTCTGCTGTCATGACGTCTTTGAGATTGCATTCGACATTTTGGTATCATGACATCGTATACGACATCTGTCCACTACGTCCCAAAATTTTAATTGGTATCAAAGCAAGCACTCTCCTCTGTTTTTGGGTGAGCTTCAGGGAAAATACTTTCTGTTAGTTCCATGATTCTATGATATAGAATTGTCCATGGTTTTATGATTGACAAAATTTTGGTAAAACATGATCCTGCACTAATGTTAAGCAGGATGTTATAACATCTGTGAAGGCAAACCTTCATACAACATACGATCTTGAGTTTTGATGATGGCAAATTGCAACCATGGATGAATCGGCATTATCGGTTCTGCCTCTACAAAGACAAATGCAAATATTCCATCCACCATATCCTTCCTATATCATTTAAAGTGCTTTACTTAATACAATATTTGTGAATGATATGTGGTTATGACTAAATGCATAAAAACCAAATAAATAACAATTTGTGCAGAATTTCAGGCAATGAGTCGACCATTGAGTCAGCGCATGTATCTGCGCTTTTCTCACGGGTCAGCGCATGAAGGCTATGAGTCGACGCATGGTCGACGCATGAAGCTCTTGTTTTCTCACGGGTCAGCGCACGCTGACCTATGGTCGACGCACACTGCTGCCCTTTCAAATCTGTCCAAATCTGCAGGCTATGCGTCGACGCATAGACCTGCTATGGTCGACCGTTCGCGCGTTTGTGCTGTTTTTTGAAGACTTCCCACTATGTTAGAAAATCTGTTCAGTTTGGTGATTGGTTGGTTACTATATATAGAGACTTTGTTCATTTTTATCAGCAACAATCGTGAATTTGAGTTAATTGTCACAAATCAAGAAAAGTGAAAGAGGTGCCATCAAAATTCATCAATCTTCATCTTTTACAATCCACAACACAACAATTACACACAGCAATTCTTTGGGTGTTTGTGATCTTGTTCAAGGTGATAAGGTCCAAAGCCGTTATCGGAAATCCGGTTCGGGTTGTTTTTAAAGGCAGGTTTTTCTTGGATAAAACCTAGCAGGTTTTACCTTCCAAGATTTGAAGATTTTTGTGGTTTTTAGGTACAGAACATCTCTACCTACTTCAGCTGAATGAAGGTGATTGAGAGGCGGTAGTCTTCGTCAATCTAGTAGCGAAAATCAGTTAAGCGTTCAAGAGTGTTCCGGGTTCAATTTGTTTGTGCATAAGATCAGCCGGGCCGAGGGTTTGAAGAACTGAAGGTTATTCAACAAAGGGGCTGGAATCGGAGGTGTACTCACAACAATCAGAGAACTTGATTCGACTCGAATCAAGGAGCAAGAAGCGATAGCATCATCAACTTCAAGAGGGCTTGATTGTACATTTTGCTTATCAATTCTTGTATAAACATTTCTACATTACAAGTGATATCTAATATATTGATCTCAATTCTATTATTAGAATTGAGGGCAGACGTACCCTGAAGCGAGGACGGCGGGGGAACTGCCTCAACAAATCTTTGTCTCCTTTACTTTTCAGCACTTTCAGTTTTTGGCTTAAAATTTAAGTGATTTTAGTATAAGAAGTTATATCATAATTTGGGTTGATTTGAGTAAGTACTTATTACTGTTTTGAACTTTAGTGCAACAATATATTGCACAAGGAACTTAAAACAACTTACTCAACCCAAACGACACTTGGAGTGTATTGCACACCAAGTGTTTGATAAGTTGCCTACACCAAAGTTTGCTTAGTTCATTTGCCTACTTTGTGGGCATTATAGATCATTGGTGCTAGTTCTACTAATAAATGGTAAAATCAACTGATAGTGTGACTAGTGTGTTGAATCAATTTTGCTCATTATCATTTCCATAAGGCTAGACGCATATCCAGTCTTTTAATAACAGTTCATTCTTAGACGCAATTTTTCCACGACCGCTTCCGCAAATTTAAAATAAATATTTTGAAAAACCAATTTTTAATTGGTTGCGCCGACTGATTTTAATTGGGATCTATTCAACCCCCCTTCTAGATCCAAGCCATCGTCTAACAAGTGGTATCAGGAGCACCGGTTCACTCCGTGCTTCGAGTATAACTTTGATAGAAAATGACGAACGAACCTAAAGGGGCTTATAATAGAGCTCCCTTTTTTAATGGAGGAAATTTTAGTTATTGGAACGACTATATGCGGGTGCACATTGTTGCACCCCCAAATTTGCCCAACCTTTTTCTTTAGCTGGCTTTTGTTTCTTTGCATTGTTCTAGAATTTGCATTGCATAACATTTTTCATTTAGCAGGGGATCAGGAGGTTGTGACTAGCAGGAGGAGGTTACCTAGAGTGTGGATCCTAAGCAAGGGGTTTTACTCAAGCATGAGTGGTCATTAAGT